AGTGATAATTGCTTACTAAATTATTTTACTTACTTGCTAGAGGGCTTGCTGTTGTCAGTGATGCCGGCAAAGTTGCTGTTACTAATCATTTTGCTTGGTTTTTCAGTAATGTAGAATTAAAAATGTTATCGCGATGCGGTTACACCGTACGAAAGATGCGCGCACGTTCACAAATCAAATTTTGTAGTTAACCGCTTGGGTACCTTTTCAACACTTTTTAGGTTAGCACACTTTTTTATAAGTATACAACTTTTTTGAAGCACAATTTGCACACTACAAAATACTTTACAATGTAGCGGTACTACAAAATGCAATGCAACCAAATTAGTAATATAAACTGGATAAAAGCGAAATGACGAATGAACGATGGCAAACGAATGACCGGATGGTACAAAAGACGCAAAGTGAATGAAATCAAATAACCGGCGAAAAGACTAGCGAAGCACGATTACCGAAAAGCAAGAAACGATTTTTTAATCGGCAAATTCGACTTGTATATAGTATCGATTTTTTCTTGAGTGACCAAATGTGGATTGATTTTCGCTTCACGCATTGAGGAATTTAAGAGTTTTTGGTCATGCAACTCTGCTGTGGTACTTTTTTTAATTCTAGTACAATTCACATAATAAATTCCACATTAGTACAGTCGACGAAAGAGGACCACTGATAGATTCCACAAATACGCCACACAGATTCATTAAACATCTACAAATAGGAAAAGTTTGGAGATTTTCCTTAAAATATTGTCAAAATATAATAAAATTAACTAACCATTGCCAGTACAGTGAACTGAAAAATTAGCGTATGCTGTTTTGCAACTAAGGTGTCAAAGAAAGTTCGCAAAACAAGTTTTGTTAATGTGGTTCCTGAAAGCTGCAGAATCACAAGAGGAAAATGTTGAATCCCGTTTCAACTGAAGCACTACTCTACTCGGCAACGTATGTCGATAATTACATAGACTCCGTGGAGAATCTTCCAGACGATGTGCAGCGGCATTTGTCACGCATACGTGATATAGATGTTCAGTACAGGAGTAAGTAATCTAGTGGCTAAGCGAACCTAACCTTTTGTGCAATGACGGCGCCCCCACATATCTGATTGCGAAATTTTCTTATTTATTTTGAAAACTTCTAGGTCTGCTTCGTGATGTTGATCACTACTATGATTTGTGGCGTTCACTGCAAAATAATAACGCCAGCGATGCGAATTGTACAAGACGTGCTCGTGCTATAGCGCGTATGCAGCAAAGTCTCATTCAAGCACAGGAACTTGGTGATGAAAAAATGCAAATAGTGAACTTATTGCAAGAGCTAATCGACCATAAAACACGGCAACTTGATACAGATCAGAAAAACCTCGACATTAAAGAAGAAATTCAACAACAACAAAGTCGAATAGACCAACTACAGCAGGCCGATGATATCGGCGGAGCTACACCAGCAAAACAAGCGCGGACAGCTAGTCCAACTCGTGAAAACAACACTTATTGTGCAAATGGTAGCTAATTGTCTTCTTGTGTGATTATACTGCTCTTTTTACTAAACGAAGTTTTATTTTAGGCGGTTCATCTGGTGGCGGTGGAGGCTCAACTCCAAATTCGGAACGATCTAGCCATGCAAGTAATGGCACGATAGGCAGCGGTACTGCCAATGGCACGAACACCGTAGGTATTCCTGCTTTAACAGGTGTGGAAAATCAACGTTCAGCCAGCAAACGCTCACGAAGACGGAATGAGAGTGCAGCAGCCAATAATAGCAATATGGAGTTTGGTGGAAATGAATCAAACTCCGCTAATGAAGGAGGCGGCGGTAGTAACAGTGGAGGTGCGGGTAATGAACGTTCATCCGTACAAAAGGCAGTAGGTGGTGGTGCGGCACAGAAAAAGCACAATACTCAGCATCAAAACAGTGGTGGCAGTGGCGGCGCAGGCGGCGGAAATACATCTGGTGCTGGTGCTGGTAGTAGTGGTAACAATTCTGGCAAGAAAAAGAAAAGAAAGACACGCGGCGGTCAATCATCAGCACAGGCGAGTGTACGCGAAGAAACACCACCTCCGGATCCCATCGATCCGGATGAACCCACATACTGCGTGTGCAATCAGGTGTGTACAAACAACTTTGAAATGAAATAGTTTCACAGACTCTTTAAACATAATATACTTTTTATTTATAGATATCTTTTGGCGAAATGATACTCTGCGATAACGACCTGTGTCCAATCGAGTGGTTCCACTTTTCGTGCGTTTCACTGGTTCTGAAACCGAAAGGAAAGTGGTTCTGCCCGAATTGCCGAGGTGATCGTCCAAATGTGATGAAACCAAAAGCTCAATTCCTCAAAGAGCTGGAACGGTATAACAAAGAAAAAGAGGAAAAAACCTAAACATGCCACATGTGTCACCCCAACAGTAAATTAGAAGAATAGTGAAACGTTAGGCCTGAGAGAACCGTAAACACCAAAAGCGCTTGATGGCAATATACAAACAATTGCATAATAACAACGAAAAAAGCTTTTGTATTAGTTACAATATTCATTTTGTCTCGTGCAGGCATTGATATCAATTGTATTCAATGTATATATGCAATTAATATTGCTTTCTTTTGTTAATTTGAATATTTTAATATGTTGGTTTTTTTTTTTTAATTTCCTATTATGCTACAATTGTTTACCTTATTTGAAATTCGAAAAAGAGTTTGGTCGCCTGCACATGATTCGTTGCTTTCTCATGTCATACCAACAACACGCAAAATGTGATTACGGCTCTCATATTGCTTGATATTTATTGTTTAGTTTCCTCTTGTTTTTGTTTATAATGTACATTGTATTAGAATAATTTAAAGACCTAGTACGTAAAAGCAGTAAATACATATTTTATACATAGAAAATGTAAAATTACACAAAAGAAAATATTGAGGAATATCTTGTAAACTTGTAACATGGAAAACTTTCAATTTTACTTTGGTAAATGGATTTTATTATTTTAATTTAAACAATATACTAATAGAATATACATATACCCATGTATGTCTAAGCAATGCGTCAGATACTGGCATAAAAACTCTTTCTTTAATGAGCTTTCCCTTTTACTTAAACATATGAAAATAGGACCTTAATTATAGTCAGGCAGGTTCTGAAATTCACTTCCGAGTGATTTTCAACCAAAGTCACTTTGAATTCAAATTGAATGTGGTTGAAATTCACTCGAAATTGAATTGCTGAACCTGCCTGAGTTTGTACTTTATTTAGAACATACATTTTGACGTTGATTTTGTTTTGAAATAAATCTGAAGTTTCTTAAAATAATAAATATTTTTTTTTTTACATTTTGAAGAAATTTTAATTTTCATGAGTGAAACCAAAATGTATTCAACAAAGTGTGATTGAATTTGCTCTCAGAAGAACCATCCTATAAAGTCAAATTGAAAAAATTTTTTGTGAATTTTGAATCGATTGTTTATATTTTTTGGCATAATAGTACCTTAAAAGAGAGTTGTCAATCACACCTTGTTTAATACACCTTGGTGAAACGGGCATTGGTTTTCTCTAAAGCGGCGCCTACTAAAGCGTGGATCAAAATATATACATACGGAAAGGGGGCTTAGGTGTCAAAAAATCAATTTTCACTTTTTGGTTGATTCGGATGGAAGATGAGATGCTTTTTCACGTGGTGAAAAGCAGAAAATCCTAACTTGCTTAGAAGTGTACTAAAAATGTAGAGAAAGAAGAGTAAAAATACGCCAAAATATAATTTATTACATTATACAATTACAATTACAAAATGTAGAGAAAGAAGAGTAAAAATACGACAAAATATAATTTATTACATTATACAATTACAATTACAATTACATTATAACAATTAACGAGATAATGAGAAACTGACGAAACGAGTTGCTTACTTTTAACACCTTTTTCACAGAAAACTAGTTTTCGCACGTAAGCTCCCTTTTCGTAGACCAGGTCACATATACATACATATCGTCGCCTGGGTAAAAGATTGTCGTATGTTGATTTGGGCAGGTTGTGGAAATCGCGATTGAAGTTTGGAATGCAATTTTTCAAAAACGCGAATATAGATTTCTCCAAAGTATCTGAAAATGTTACTAGTTCACAAAATTCTTAAATTATTTAATTTTTAATGTTTAATGTTAATTAGCTTTGAGTTTATGAAGGATTTTATTTAGTAAAATTTGTCGTAAACGTCATTTGTCCACAATTTGGCAGCCACTCTGTATGTTGTATGTCCAGACCACCATTCTATAAATATAGCAAAGGTATTTATGGCAAACCTAGTCTAGATATCAACCTCGTCGTAGGTATCATATCAAAGACACACAATTAGAAAAACTCTAGAGATAGATGTCGCCTCGCCAGAAGAAGTTAAAAATTTGCACTACATTCGCTACAGCGGAAATGGACGATACGCCATTTCTTTAAATGAAATTAATTGCTGCTATATGTATGTATGTACCAGAGTTGTGAGAAATGCATTAAATTTTTTAATGCATAGCATTTTAATGTAAATGAAAAAGATTAATGCATTAATTTTTGATATTTAATGTAAATGAAAATTTCAATGCACTAATTCCGAAGAAATAATGCTAATGATTTTTTTGTTTGTATTAACATTCAAATGTTCAAATGAATGCTATTGCAATAATTTATTGCATTAAAATTATAACAAGCATTAAAACCCCATTAACTAATTTTATTTTGAAGTAAACATTCTTTGCTGACGTTGAGGATAGAATTTTAAGGTCAAAAAAGATAGTGACGGACGTTAAGGCTGGTTTTCACTATGTCAAGTTCAATAGGTACTTCATTTTCACTTTCATTAATTGTTTATAATGAATTTTGCTAAAATTTCAAAATCAAAGTTATCAAAACAAATTCTGTGGGACTGGGAAATATTGTTTTCTACTTTTTAGTCCATTTATAAAAGCGTTGTATATTAAAAAGTTTTTTATTTTATTTCTTTATTTTCTACTTTTTAGTCTTGTCTGTACAAAATTTTGCAATAGATATTAAAATAATTTAACTTGCAGTGAAAGAGAACAGAAGACTATGCAAGCACAATGTTGTTTGCTCACATTTAGTATAAACATACATACATATGTATAGCAGCAGTTTATTTCATTTAAAGAAATGGCGTGTCGTCCATTTCCGCTGTGACGTATATAAATAGTGCATATATTTAGGCGCAATATTTAACTTCTTCTGGCGGGGCGACATCTAGAGTCTTCTAATTGTATCTCCTTGAGATGATGCCTACAACGAGGTTGATATCTAGACTAGGTTGATATCTAGAATTTTCCATAAATAGCTTTGCTACATTTATAGTAGCCCTGCAAAAATCGTTGGACCATGTAGTCTATTTGTGGTAAATTGGAGTACTTACAAAAGTGTTCCTCTGTCATGCTGTAGCGGACCAACTCGTGTCTCTGCGCCAGCTTATTGTTTGTTATCCGATCACTGCCCGTGTTTTAACGAAACGTGATGGAAGTTGAGCATTTGAAAGCAAATTTGCATGTCTGGCTGTAGCTGAACGTGTAGAGATGCTCGCTGTTAGTTCTTAGCTCGCAGCATGTTCGGGTTCGAATACCGTCAGAAGCAACATGTAATTTTTAATTTTTGTCTTGGTTTTTATTAATTTCGAAAAAGCATTTGAGAAGTGAAGAACAAAAGCGTGTACAAACGAAAAAATATAACAACAATGCCATTGTTAATATGTTGGAGTAGTTTTGTGCTACTCTGATGTAATGCAGGGATGGAGTATATGGTCCTGCCCTAGGACATCGCAATGTTAATTGGACCATATTTTTTATATGAATTGTGGTTAATTTTGGAGTACTCCTTGGTCCTTAGGGAGTACTCTTTACACGCATGCATGGAGTAGTCGCGATTTTTGCAGGGAGGTGCATTCTTTTGCAACCGAGCTACAAAAGAACACTCGCTTAAATGACGAAATACACGCAAAGCAACAACACAAACTCGGCTATTTATTCGAGCTCAGCCAGAGGGTCAATTCCCGTTCTGCGTTATCGTGAAGTGATAAAAATATCACCTTCACACCGCATTTATTTCGGTGTTAATTTTATACTTTTCACTTCATTTCACGATAACGCAGAACGGTAATTGACCCTCAGGTCGGTTAAAAAATACGCGACCTGAAGGCTAGTGTTGGTAAGTGAAAAAACTGCTCTATTGTGAATTGTTGATGGGAAAAGTGGGGAGGGAAATTTTTGCTTCCTTTTATACGTGACTTATATTTTGAAAGAGTATATATATTACGCAAATACCTCGCATAATTACTCATTTAAATTGGTTTTTGTATCTAAATCCCGTTAAACTAATCAGCAACCAACAGGGTTGCTTAAGTAGCTAAAAAGAAATTTTACCCGAGTTGAGCGTTCTTTTGTCACTCGCTTACAAAAAAAATGCAGCTAGTATAAATGGTGGTCTGGACATACAACATTCAAAGCGGTCTGGACATACGACATTGCAAGTTGATAAAGGCGTTGTAAAATAATAATATATCTCAGTCCCATAGAATTTGTTTTGATAACTTTTGATTTGGAAATTTTAGCAAAAGTCATTATAAACAATTTATGAGATTGAAAACGAAAACCGTGGAGCTCATGCAACACAAAGCATTAGATTTAATTGACAATATTCAAACTACATACATAACATAGACCTAAAATTTCTACAGCAAAAGTACAAATTTGAGATCAATTGTAAGCGGTCGTTATTAATATACCCACATACATACATATATTACTCTTCAATTTCAAATCAGGCCTATTACATGCGCCCCACGCTTTTCATTTTCAATCTCATAAATTGTTTATAATGACTTTTGCTAAAATTTCAAAATCAATAGTTATCAAAACAAATTCTATGGGACTGGGAAATATTGTTTTTTACTTTTTAGTCCATTTATAAAAGCGTGGTACATTAAAAATTTTTTTTTAAATATATTTTTTACTTTTTAGTCTTGTTTGTATAAAATTTTGGAATAGATACTAAAATAATTCAACTTGCAGTGAAAAGAGAACAGAAGACTATGCAAGCAAAATGTTTGCTCACATTTAGTATATGCCTACATATGTACATATAGCAGCAATTAATTTCATTTAAAGAAATGGCGTGTCGTCCATTTCCGCTGTAGCGTATGTAGTGCATATTTTTAACTTCTTCTGGCGAGGCGACATCTATCTCTAGTGTTTTTCTAATTGTATGTCTTTGATATGATACCTACGACGAGGTTGATATCTAGACTAGATTTGCCATAAATAATTTTCCTATATTTATAGTATGGTGGTCTGAACATACAACATTGCATGTTGATAAAAGCCCTGTAAAAAGATATTGATCCAACTAGGAATGTTCGATATCGTATCGATTATTCTGAATATCGATATTTCATGGCACGATAATAGATTTTTTGAATCGATATTCCAAGATCGATATATGGAAGACATCGATACTTTACCCGCAATATCGATATTTAAGTTAAAAATTATTTTTCATTTACAAATAAGTATATAGAAAATACTAAACTAAATTTTCCAGCACGTGAAGACGGCCGGTTAACCGCAGAACTCCACAGGCAAACACCGATGGCCTACCAACAGTCATTTTGACGAGCAATATAATTGCAAGCTTTTACGTGTGGGCACTTTGATGTCTTGAAATAAGCATTTGCAGCATTACGCCACCAGACAACATTCTTTCAATTTTGGTGTTTAAAAACATTTAAATCATTAAAAAACTTGCTGAATAGTTTCCTAATACGTAAACATAAATACTCCAATAGAGAACAGATTTTATTTTGATTTAATATCAAAATTTCATCGATGTTACCACCATCACGCTTTCCTTCAAATGAAAATATGGCTGTCAAACTATCGAATTGCCTGCAATAGATCGTCGTCTGGATAAAAGTAGTCTGTTCCTTTGAACTTCGGACTAAAACCTGTGGAACTGTCAAACTACAATTTTACTCTCTCAACTGAGAGTAAAAGGAGAACAGATGCCGAAGTGCACAGGAACGCAAAAAGCCTATTTCTTGTAAAAACGTCAACGGGTTGTTTACATGTCATTGGTACTACACTGATTTGGCTGAAATATCACTAAATAATTATTAAAATCTATACATATTCAAATATTTCGTTGTTTACTTAAATTTTTTAACAAATATAAGGTTCTTTGCTTTCACTGCCTTCTGTTTTTGTTTGCACATGTAAATCAGCTGATCGTTTGACACTTTTCATGAACTTACAGGAAACAAAACTCCGGACTAAATCCAGTAACTTCTGACTAGGAACAGTTGCTCAGTTACTCTCTCAAATGTGTTCCCACTTACAGGTTTTATGTCAATAGGAACGACTTCCTGTAAGTTCTGACTAAATCCTGTAAACCGGACTGCTATTGGAACAGACTAAAGATTGTCGTAAGCGCCATTTAGACCACCAACAATTGTGTGAAATTTCATAATAAAACTTTCATGTTAGCTAGCGAATTCCTTAAATACAGTTAGTCTGTTCCTTTGAACTTCGGACTAAAACCTGTGGAACTGTCAAACTACAATTTTACTCTCTCAAATGAGAGTAAAAGGAGAACAGATGCAGAAGTGCATAGGAACGCAAAAAGCACTATTTCCTGTAAAAACGTCAGTCGGTTTGTTTTCATGTCATTTGTACAACACTGATTTAGCTGAAATATCACTAAATAGTTATTAAAATCTATACATATTCAAACATTTCGTTGTTTACTTCCATTTTTTTACAAATATAAGGTACTTTGCTTTCACCGCTGTTTGTTTTTGCTTGCACATGCAAATCAGCTGATCGTTTGACACTTTTCATGAACTTACAGGAAAAGAAACTCCGGACTAAATCCCAAGAATGATAGAATACAAGATTGTGCCGATCAGAGAGGATTTTTGAGAATAACTTTTGTGTGACGTCACACTGGTGCAATTGCGAGAGAGAAATGCTAAAACGTGAGCAAGAATGGAAGAAGAAGAAAAAATGTTGCAAGGAAAACGTAAACAAGTTGCACCAGTGTGACGTCATGCAAACAACGATTCTGTCAAATTCGTTAAGAGAGGAATAGCGGTCCGAGATCGGCGCAACCTTTGTATTCTCTCAATCGTGACTAAATCCTGTAACTTCTGACTAGAAACAGTTGCTCAGTTACTCTCTCAAATATGTTCCCACTTACAGGTTTTATGTCAATAGGAACGACTTCCTGTAAGTTCTGACTAAATCCTGTAAACCGGACTGCTATTGGAACAGACTAAGTTTTAGCCGTTTAAAGTTTATGACATACAACAGTACGGCAGTATTCAACACCTTGCTTATATGAAACATCTCCCTAGTTTTTACATGTCAAAATGTTAACAAACATAACTGTAATGGATTTACTAAATTTGGCGCAATTTGTATTCTTTGTTTGCAAAGACCTATAAATTGAATCCGTCATCAGATCACAAGCAATAAACGGCAACATTTTACGATGTATTTTTTATTTATTTGCAATTTGAAAATATAACACTTTCCCCTGATAAAGCTTTTTATTTATACATACTGACCTTTTGCTTCCTACCGGAAATGTTAAGCCGTATGCATAAAAACCAAGCAATTGCTTTTTTTTTGAAATTAAGTTTTGTGACTCTGTTAAAATAGTAATAATCTCTAATATTTTGAGTGTTGAAAAATTCTTGCTGGATTTTCGACGAACAAACCTAGAGATTGGCAACATTAATCGGTCGCTGAAACATCTCTGTCACTCCCTTTTGAAAGAGAACGGTTCTTGAAAAGCAACAAAAGCGTAAAAAACAATAGGTAGGGGAGACGCATGATTCAATAATGAAAGGTTTTGTAAGAAAAACTTTCTCTCGCTCTAATTTTATCAATGACACTCCCACCCTACTCCTAAAAACAAAAACAGTGATATTTCTTTTCCAAATTTCTTTGCAAGTTTTAAGAACATTTTTAAATTGATAGTAGTGAAATTTTTACTTTTTAAATTTGAAGAAATGTTTGTTCTGCATTCGCTGGCGCCAACAAGACAAAATGGGTGAGAATCGTTGGACTACAGAAATTCAATGTTAAGAAACGAAATTCCCTTAAATGCCGAAATGTATTTGTCGATATTCGTGGAGACCTCTTGATTCTGCCAAGTCGCTGTAAAGTAAAGCGTTCAATGAGCCAACGAAGGTATTTAGGTATTGTACTCCACGACACAATCCTGGTGTCTCCGAATGAGATTTTGACGCAATATAACATTGCCAAACCGCATCCATAGGCCCAATCGTCACACGACAGCTCGGTTTAGTCAATGGCGCGATGTAATTGCACACTTAAAAGGTGTACGCACGAGGCGAATGTTGGCTGGCGACCAACTTTATTGAAAGCGATTAGCTGAAAGTAGAATGCAAAATTGAACAATACAAACGCCTTTTTATGGCGAATATTTTAATATTTTTTTATATTTTGATATTTTTAGTCATTCAAATTTTTTTTCGTGCAACCCGGCGGGAGTTGAACGCAAAAGTTGCCTGAAAAATCGCCTCGTGCGAAAGCCCCATTACGCCACTTCTCATTTGACGATGTAGATCACGTTCCCTATCTCAGTCGTTCAGTAGCTGCGTGCTCTGAGTTCGTCCGGCACCAATCGCCAACTGCGGCTGTGCAAGCCAGTGTTGAATATTTTCCCCAGAACATAAAAAGTGCGACATCAAAGAATTCGAAACAATCGAGCCATAACCGCGAAAGAAACGTAAGCTCCAAATTTTTTTATTTGCCGTTTTTTTGTTTAATAAATATTGCATATTTTCCGCAAACAAATAGCTTCTTCATGTCCATCAACTGGCAAACAAATACAACAAAAAAAAGCTGAAAGTGGACCATCCATTCTCGAGTTATGCGCCATCTGACGTACGCAAGTTTGGTATAAACATAGAAATATTTATTTTTAATAACAATAGGGGGTTATATTCGATGTAACTAAGCTTGTTTAAATTAAATAATTAAATCAAATTCGTTTTTGTTTTAAAATACCACCATTCACTATTATCCACACGTTTTTATAGAATTTAGCTCCCATTTTAGGAAGTGTGATTGAATTCTTCCCCTTTTTCTTCTGCTTCCAAAAACCATCCCTGTGGGTGGGAGTGCCAAATTTTAGAAAAAAGCTACTTACAAAACCTTTAATAATTGAATCATGGGGGAGACGCACAAAGCGTAGCTGAAAAATCACAGCGCAGTATAATCGCCAAAAAGAAATCGCATAGATCAGAAAAGTGCCAAGAGGGTATATTGTCCGTGTTTTCCAGCTTAAGAGCTTATTGATTTATCAAAAGTAGAAAAAGTATAGCATTTAATTCACGTAATCGCATCTGGACATTCCAAACAATACACAATTTTTACAAGAGAAATGTCTGTTGAACAGGTAAGCTATTGAATTTTCCAAATTTTTCCAGGCAGCAATTTTAACAATGACATTTAATATATGTATGTATGTATGTATATGTATATTGAAAAATTATTTTGTTTTCTATATATTTTACTGCAATATCAATTTAATATTTTGTGACCCTTTTGGATCAATTCGGTATAATTTTCTCAATGGATTCGCAGAAGCGCGCCTACAATAAATTGAAGCACGACATGGAACCGTGGCGTAATCTCATCGTACAACTGGATTCGGTGTTGAGTTGGGAAAAGAATTTTTACCCAGCAATTATAGCTGCCGCTATTTCGACATTCTACTTGCTGCTGTGGGCATTGGATATGTCTACGGTGACAACTCTAGCCTTAGCGGGTTTATTTGCGTTGGCAATAGATTTCCTTTATCCATCTGTATCGCGTTTTCTCTTCAGCCCAGATAATTGGAATGGGAGCCAAGAAGAACAATTTGAGCGTGTCTGTACGCAGTTGTGTAATCTGAAATCAACACTAAGCGGGTGGTATGAATACCTTTTTTCGGCTAAGGAGCGCAAGTCGACTTTGGTGAGTGTATAGAGCTTTCAAAATTCCTTAAGCCTTTAAATACTCATTGAGAATACCTACTGTACAATTTATATTTGCAGTTTGTCACTATTATGAGCGTTGCACTCTTGACACTTGCTTGGATTGGCACCATAATAAATAATCTACTTCTCATGTATTTGATCACCATGGTGTTGGCTTTGTATCCGGGCGTACAAGAAAAAGGCGTTTTCTATAAAATCAAGGATTACTTTGGGTGTGCCGTGAACTCGAAACTACAGCAGCTTCGTGAAAAAAATAAGAAAACTGACTAAAGAGTTGGTCGGACACGGAGAATTTAGCGAAAGCGAACTTAACTTTGCACGTGTCGGGAAGTCCTTTTTTAAAAAATCACAGCTTATGCTGAATGCAAGACATTTTTAACATTTTTATTTATTCATGTTAGAAATAAATTTTTAGTCATCAAAGGTTCATTATATGATTTATAATTAAACTTTTTCATATATTGGAAATGCTGTTAATGGTAATATGCCATTGCACTTTACATAATATTGCTGGCATTATCCTGTAATGAAAGAAACATACGACCAAAGCAAACTGAATTGTCGAAATCATGAAATATCAAAAAATCTAAATAAATTACAGGCGAATTGCAGAAATTTAAGAAATACATAGATATTAAAACAATACTCTGTATAGAAAGTTTGAATTTCAACTATATAGATTTTTAGCGTATAAGCTTTATCTAAAACATTAATTCAACAAACCAAACAATACATATTCAAGCAGATCACCAAAAAAGTAAACAATCTAGTTATAAAAAAAGCGAAATACTTCATCAATCAGAAATAGTCATTTCATACAGTTTTACGAAAATTTAAAATTTGTCTTAATATAATGATGCCATAAAAAGCTTAGTGCCATTAAACAATCATCGATGGTAGTATTCATTTGCCTCTTAAGAAAATCTGATCAGATATTTGCAATCTATGCGTATATCGTACGTAAATTTGGAATACCTACCTTTATCATTTCGCAACTCGATTATGGATAGCAGCGCAACTACAGTTGGGTTGCCGATGGGCAACACCACTGAAATGAAAATGTATAATATGAATAGCAACTAAAATTAAATGCTATATATTTTGAGATAATAGAATATTGAAGTACCAGCAATCAAGACTTGAGTGTAAATAAGCTGGAAAAATGAATAAATTTACTGTCACCGCAAGCACAAAAATTCAATTGCCAGCTTTCGGTGTCCAGTTGACGTCTGTAATACAATTTCAGCGCAACTGAAGTTCGGTTACCATCCGTAATCGACTCATCAAAATCATAAGCATTATACTTTTATAAGCTTTATCGTCATAATTCCTTCATTCTATATAACCTACATTCGAACAATCTCGTTTTAATTGTGATTTATTAATTATGAAAGAAATTAAGTATTTGAACCCTAAAGTAAAGATAAGCATTTTCGTACTGGCGAAATACATATTTAAATATGAACACGATTATCTAAAAATATTAAATATATAATATTTAAAACATTAGTATTTACGTGTTTACATTTGTAGAATTACAATGATCGATACATATTACAAATATTTGCGAATAAACAAGTTTCATTTTGATGTGAAATTCGAAAGAGTTCAGCTTAATCACAAATCAAATTACATATTGAATTCAATCAACATTTCATAAGTCATCTTCTGCTGCTGCGATCATGTGAACGGGACCTTGAACGTGGCTTCTTGCTTTTCTTTGTCTTCTTTTTATGTTGTTTCTTTTCCCGTCGATATGAGTCTTCCTCTCTCTCAGTATCACTGCCTGATGAGGTCTCAGTGTCGCTCGTTCTGTGTCTGTGCTTGCGTTTCGACTTTTTACTGCTTTTCTTTTTAGCCTTTGATTTGTGACTCGACTTCTTTTTGGCCTTGCGCTCATACGCCGAGTCAGAATCGCTATCTGTGCCTGAAGAGGCACTTGTGTCATCGGTATACTGTTGACGTCTGCTGCTGCTGCCACTGGCTGACGGTGCACTTTCTATCTCTGTTCGATTGTTGCGTTGCCTGGATCTACGTTTGGATTGATCGCGCTCATTGCGTCGTTCGTCATAACGGTTTCGCCGACTGGAGACGTCGTGCTGCTCAAGTGCATAACGTCGCGAGTTGCTGCTCCTATAATCGTCACACCGTCGGTCGTCATCATCTCGGTTGCCATTATAGGAATGATCTTCGGTTCCATGGTGACGGGATTTACTTCGATGCTCAGGTCGTTGCTTTTCCTCAGTTTTTCGCCTTTCATCACGTCTATCTCTGGCTTTATTATCTGCCTTGCGTTTGTCATCATCACCCCTTTGGTATTCATCCTCCACTTTTCGAACTTCTTTTACTGGTCTTGGTTTCTTTTCAGTATCTTCTTGCTTAATAATAATTTGTCCATGTTCATTCTCCATCTTTTTATACTCTTCATATTTTGCTGTATCTGAAAATGAATTTGGTGTTAGTTTCTCATCCCTTATTTGGATTATCTTATCGCATACTTATGCATTTTCCGTACTGAGCGTATTCCTTCTTCGCTACTGGTTGACATAAAAACTCGTTAAACGCTTCTTTATTGCCGCCTATAGCCATTTTGACAATCACACGTGCCGCATGATCATCGAATCCTTCTATTTGCCCGTACATATCTTTATGTTTTCCACCCAATATACGCACGAATGCTTGTTTTTTGATTTCTAGCACTTCATTTTTCTCTGGTGCAACTAATAAGGGCTGTTTTTTGAGTGCTTTATCAGCACCTAACCCCATTCCCTTTGGACGCACAAATGGCATTTCATCTTCTGGTGGAACACCCTTTTTTTGAATGGGCTCAACCCAGCCCATGCCGCGTAACATAGCTTTTCCAAATTTTTCTATGGGCACATTTTCATAATCATCTATAGACGATTGTTTGGCGCCTTCAAGTGGCAACTCGTCTGCTTTTAAAGTAGGTAGTACAAGATTTTTATCAACGGGTCCGTCGTCGTTACCTTGTACTGAAGCAAGTAACTCACGAGCAGCTCTTTCCTCTAAACTCTCGTTGATCACCTTTCCACTTGTGCAATTAGTTTCTGTGATCACTTTGCTTATCGGTTCATTAGGAGGCGGTTCATCTGATTCGCCCAGCAAAACAGCTCGTCTTTTTATCAAACTTGCAAGTGCCGCTGAAGTTTTAGTGTCCTCCTTCAATGGAATCACCATAGGAGGCTCCTCCTTCTTCTCTCTGTAAAGATGTGGAGTTTCTTATGCATATAACATTTATATTGGGAAGTGATTACTTACTCGAATAGTTTTATTTCATGGCCCTCCAAACATTTTATGAGTTCCACTTTGGGTTCTTCTTTTTCTTTTCCTTTGCTTGTTGACAGCAAATTGCATTTCTTTGCGGTTTTACTAAATCCGAAAGATATTTTCTTGATGTCCATGTTTTATTAAGTTTCTTCCAACAATTAATTTGCGTTTATAAACAATTGCATACAATCAGCTGATCTTCACAGTGAAACGTTGCTGTAAAGTTGCCAAAATGTCGATAGCGATATCGAAATTTTTTTATTTCTATTGCAATCGAAATTTTTTACCACTTCCAATCGATTATCTCTGCTGGCAATAGCCCTATTCATGTAAAAATTATCCAGTATAATAATAATAATAATAGATTGGCGCTTACACATATGTTAGTGTTTGGCCGAGCTTCTCCTCCGGTTTGTGGCGTGCGCCTTGATGTTGTCACACAAAGCGGAGGGACCTACAGTTTTACGCCGACTCCGAACGGCGATTGTATTTTTATGAGAAGCTGTTTTTCATGGCAGAAATACACTCGGAGGTTTGCCATTGCCTGCCGAGGGACGACCGCTGTTAAGAAAAAACCTTTTTTCTATATTTTTTGCGATGTTGCTTTATTATTATCCAGTATAAAGTTGTTAATAAATTAGTGCGCGGAAGTTTCAAATCTGTGTTTTAAATTAAAGCTCAATCTTTTAACTACACGGGTAAGTTGAAAGATTTTAATTTAGATCGCGCATTTTCTTGTAATAACCCGAAATAAGT